TCAATACGATATAACATTTTTAGTATGAAACTTAGATGTCTTAGGAGGTCAAACCGTTTCCCCAAGCCGATTGCGCTGCACTTCCGTCACGGGCTGTTGGAAAGGCATTACATTCAACGTTAATGCCCTTTTTTTTTTTTCGCCATGTTGAGATATCGTATGAGATCAATAAGTGTTATTCAACGATATCGATGCTGAAATTTGTGCAAACGACGGTCTATACTAATGTGAACTTCAAGTTTGACTCTCTGTACCGTAACCCTGTTCTGTTCTACACTTCAGTACACGAACCCATTTCGTAGGAGTTAACGAACGAATAACTAGAATGTCTAAACGGTAGAGCATGCATTACTTAAGCCATAAAAGGTCGAGTGTCACCTTATCAGTGGAAGTGGACCTTTTTTCTGTAGTTGCCTTTTTAGATCACTCATACATGAATAAAGACTGTCGATCCTGTCCTATGTACGATAAACCTCTAATCTCTTGATGAACTTCAGGGTCCAATCTGAAGAACACTAAGTAAACGCCGGTCCAATCATACAATCATGCAAGCGGTCGAAGCTGGCCACAGTAACAATCTCCCCCGTCTCACCCCGCTTTTTGTGATTGATTCGTCAGCCAGCGGTCACCTCAAGAGCTAGTTACGCAGATATATTATTTACCGTCAGTTGGAGATACGTACTGTTGATTAGTCAGAATCATTTTTACTTCTGAACTTTCGTATACGAAAAAGCAGGACGGGGCAGAGACGCAGCTAGGTCTAATCCCTATCTATCAGGATATTAAATTCGCAGGTACCTGACTCATTGAACCGTTCTCACTGTGCGAAGTGACGATATTAGCTGTTGTTTACTTCAGCCTATCCTGTTATGTTTATTTACTATTTCTGCTATACGTCACGTATGGATATACACGTGACTTTTGATACAATTTCGGATAGAGATAAATCTGATACTGCGTAGACTTTTGAAAGCAGGGTCGCTTGCAGCATAGAATAACGTGATACGTCAGTCTAGTTGGATTGTCAACGCTCTGGTCAATAAATGTAACGGCATCGAAATCGAAAATGTACAATTCGCTATCGTCTTACTTATCAAACTGTAAATAATACTGCACATACCATATTCGTATATACAAGCTAACAAATATCTAGATTAAAAGACTCGGCAGTAATTCACACGTGATCGATAATAGTTTGTTAAGCTGTCGTACAAATATACGACAAGGGCAATGCTAAATAAATATCGAAATAAGGTTCAACTTAGTATTTCAAGTAGTTTGTTCCTAGTCTCATGCGTTCCGTATCATCGTTTTCACATGTAGACGTATTTCACACGCATACGTATGCAAGCACGCACGTACGCACGCATATACACACACACACACACACACCCACCCACATGAGGAACCACAAAGACTGGGTCAACTACGTCGTGGACGGCGGAATGAGCAATAGGCGAAGTGATCGACGCTAACGATGTGAACAAAGGCGGTGTTAGTCTCAGTAGAAAAAACCGCCATCGTAGCGCGAGTGATTCGACTTGAGGAAATTTTGTCGGTTATCGCATGGAGGTGCAAATATAGGGTAAGGCCAGCACAAGAACGACATGGAGGACTGTCGTCAAACAGGGGTCAACGAAAAGTAGACGTTGGGGCGCGGTCGAACGCGACAACTCCAAAATGTCGTCTGAGGACGCCGAAGTTAAGTGGTCGTTAAATATAGCGAAAGTTAATAATAACCAAGGAAATTGTTCATTGAATACTCTATACGTTGCATTATTTTTTTTCGCTGAACATCGGCTCGATATTATAGCGTGCCGTGTATAACGAAAGAATACGTACGTTGTTTCCTAAATTGCAAAACGCATATGCTTCCTACACCATTGCCCTTTGCTATTCTGGGGCGGGCATCCAATTAATACGTAATTATTAGTCTGTCAAAGTTTTCCTCATTTAGGAGAAAGTTACTAATAGGTACACACGACACGTAACGACCGGTATTCCAGCTTGAATTATGTTCAATTCTATTCTATCGTAGGAAACCATTTATTGATATGACATTTTTTTTACGTTACGACGAAACATGCTGCACCCTTGACAGCCGTTTACAGATAATCACCCTCGAAGCACGTAAATGTAATTAACATGCCTATTTTCCTAATTTCCTTGTGAATAACACTTAGAACTGGGCGAAGCCAGTAAAAAAAAAAATAATTAGGTTGTCGACGAGGCAGTGTACCCCGTCAATGAATGGTTAACTTCGATCCGATTACTACCCAATATTTAATTATCTACACGAATTTTTGTGTGTATCTACCCTGGTGCCTTTTTCTATTGCTTGTCTATGCACATGTCCACATAGTTATGTGAAAAAAAAAAAAAAAAAAAAAACTAGCTGAGCTTAAATTACGGTATTAACCTGAAACGTACAACCCCTGTTGTCGTAAACAACCCCTAAGCACTACATGCAGTTATTTCCAATAGGTGAAGCAAAGCTAAATTAGCCTAGACCTGGCCTGAACGCCGAAAGTAAAGATTGCATATAGTATAAAATTGCTATACGCTATCATGATTGAACGTGCGACAGAACCGCCCCCATAATTGAGCCACTCCAATCGTTTATAATTAGCCTTTGAAGCCTGTTAACAGATTATGATTGCTTAATCTATAATTACTCAATAGAACGAGACAGTTTTTATGCTCAGTGAGATAGTAGACGTATGCGTCTGTCTCTTGGTTGCTGTTTTTTTGTTTTTTTTTTTTTTTTTTATCTAGCTAGCTGGGGAATAAGGACACCTTCTGTTTTTCACATTGTTTTTATTGATCAGGCCAGTTGAATTACTAATTTTATTCTGTGATCAGATTAAGCATCATAACTAAATGTCGTGTCGGACAGTTTTCAATGTGTTAAAGTTTAGTAATTACCTATGCCTCGATTCGTTTGTAACGGGTACCTCAACTGAGGGTGAAATCCAATGGCTCCAGGCGGTCATCGCATTTCAGTCAGGCTAGACCCTTTGCAAGCTCGTCCCGTGTTTTAGGCGGAGGAAAAACGTCAAACAACAAACCTTACAGGAATACGATTTCCCATGCCGAATTCAATACGACAGGAGGTATTCTTGTATGTGAACATCCTGCCCAGCAACCGTCTCAGCCCCTATGCAGTCGTCATTCGTTTTCGCTATATACTGAATAGCTCTGCCTTCTTGACTGTCGGCTCCATTCCCCTAGGCGTCAGTTGCTTGGCAGGCAGCCTATATTCGCGGTGATATCTGTCGGTTGATCTAGTGCCCACGATCGCCCCTCGCTTGCAGCATGTTTCGACCAGAAGTCAGTGGCTGTCTAACGGCGGCGACGACGCTTCACCGTACACTTTAGTCAGTTGGAGGAGTGTCCTTCTTGTCTGGTGCTTTTCTAGTCACGTAACGGCAGCCAACGTAAAATTTTCAGTGAGTTGTCGTATCCGAGTCAGACCCTGATGCTTTAACGTTGTTGCGTTGCTTGACATCGCCCGCAGCGTCGGAACGTTTCATTCGGATGAACAAGCGCCGCGGTCCGTTGATCAGAATAGCAGTATCGCCAGCATCAGCGCTTGTAATCATGGGTCATCGTCCTCCACGACGCCTTTCTACAATGGCATCGATCGCTGTCGTTGCCAGTACAGCGAACCCGGCTCGTTGGAGCGGAGCAGTGGAGAGCAACACTGCGCTCATTACAAGCATCACAGAAACGATGCCATCGCGCCACATCCCGATCGTCAACGCACTCATCAGGTCAGAGAAGGAGAGAATCAGGCATTGCTCCGGAGACGGAGAAGCAAGGGGCGAGCAGCGGCGTGAGCTCTGAGGAACTCTCCAGCCGCGCAGTCGATTTAACGGTTGTGGAACTCCTTATATAGGGCGGTGGGCGACCATCCATTGATGTTGACTTGGGTGCCACTTCGAAAGGCTGCAACAGTACGATGGTTGGAGCACAGCGCGTGGACCATCAAGTGGGAATGGGACCGCCCGGTGATCGGCGAGCGTACTGGAGTTCCGTTGTGCGACAGCCCGATAATTCTAATGAAACTTCGTCGACATCGACGGTCGCCACGACTGCTTCCTCTATGGACTAAAACTGCTAATGTTTTGGTATAGCCAGTAGGACTGCTATAGCAATGACACGATCGGCATGGCCTGTTTACCGGCGCTTCTTTTCTTTGACTATTCCGCTGATGGTGCCAATTCCCATTGTCATTTCCGCCACGTATGAGTGCTGAGTGCGAGCTCAATGGTATTTGCCACAGTCACAGGACAACGAATAAGTAGGCCCCGATTCCACTGGCTGTGTTGACTATACAGTTGTCGTTGTCGGAGTTTGAACGATGTCCGAGTTACAACGGAGCTGTAAACTATGTTGCTACTTGTTTCATCAATTGCTGCTGTCATAAAGAAGACGAACGTAGACAAAGCCGGGAGGGAAACAGTGCTCCAGAAAAGCATGAGGAAGACCTTTGAGTTATTACGTTTGCTCTGGACGAAATGTGGAACTGGTATAGGAAAAAACCCTTAAGAAGAAAATTCGATGGATGATGGACTGGAGCAAATAGCAATGAATGAATGAATCACAAGGTGGACGAAACTAACGGAAAGCGGAACACGGCTATCGGATACTGCCTGATGCCACGACCAACCGAACGCCTGAAGCCCGGTCAACAGAAGCAATGATCGCTGCCATTTTTCCTTTTGTCTCTGTTGTTAGAGGACGTCGTTGTGTATTCTGCTATGCACTCCTTGTATCTGTGCATCTGCGTTGTAGTTACCTATGATGACAGAAAGATAGACAGAAAAAGTATCTAAACGGTACACACATGACCGTAAACAGGGCTTCTTCCCCGTTTACAATCCGAAAGGCATCTACATCGCTATAGACATACTAGAACACGTTACATGTCTGCGCAACTACGAATTTCCTGTATATACATATATGCATATGTTTCTATGTGTGTGTGTGTGTGTGTGTGTGTGTGTGTGTGTGTGTGTGTGTGTGTGTGTGTGTGTGTGTGTGTGTGTGTGCGTGCGGGTTCTAACTACGTCAATAGCTGAGCTTTTGCCAGTAGTCCAAGGAGACATGTAACAATTCTTGATACTGCATCAAGAGTCTAGCATGTAATTAGGACCTATCAGTTTACCTGCTGATCTTTCCGCTGAGTTTGTGAGCCGCTTTACGTTTATGTACAACGCCCGGGTTTCTGTCAAGGGCAATCACTTGTTTGTTAGTTTAAAATGGGTAGTTACTTAATAATGGTTTTGCTCCAGTTTATTACTGCTACCATCCAAGCATATGGTTATTGCTATTTCTCCAACTGCCTATTAGGAACCAGCTTATTAAACGTCTACAGATATTCTCTACTGACGTAACTAGCGTTGTCACATTATGGAACAGCTAAGTACAAAATAGTGCTAATTCAGCCAATAGGAAGAAACCTAGGAGCATGTATAAATGGAGACGGTGTTGAATGCAACCTTTATAAACGTTTGGCTGTTGACTCAATGGTAAATAAATGTATGTCTGCTAAAGCCAGACTATGCTGATCCACAAAAATCATTTTAGTTATATTTACGCTACGCATATTTCTGTAATTTTTATTTTTTTTCTGCACATTATGCGAGAAATATGAATGAAATCTGTTCGTATGTACATGTTTGAAGCACGACCTAGAATCGCATACCAGAACCATTGCAATAAGTACTCCCAATAGCTATTTAAACTAAATATGATGTTCTTGTAGCGCTCTGGGCAATTTACCTTCACGCGCTAGACGTAAGGTAGTTGCAATAAGGTAACTGCGCATTCGTTAGTAAAGAAGTTGGTCACTGGTACATATGTACATCAATGAGTGGGAGTCCGAAGAAAACGGAAAGCAAATCCAAACATTTGCACCGGGATTGCCCAAACGATCTTCACAGAGCGGCCTCTTGTTATTGCTGATTGTTGCAAGCGTTCACGTTCCGATAAAGTACGCTTTGCCGGTGGCAAAAAATGAAAAGAAAAAAATGATTTCATAAAGCCTAGCAACTGTCTAGCTTGTGGGGTAGCAAGCTCGTATTACGCCAAAGCGAGAATAACGTGAGAACACTTTGTATCTCCCTCTGCCAGTCATTGGCTGTTCTACGTTACATAATTAAGATTTATCAAACACCTATGCACACGGCCACATATATATATATATATATATATATATCAGTGGAGTCAGTTACATATACTACTGCAACGAAGTGACTTTCTAGGCAAAGAAAACTTTCACTGCCTAATCACAGAGAGAGGAACAGCAAAGGGAAGTTTGCTGAATTGAAATATATGCGGCATTGCAGGCCGTGGTGTCCGTCCTGCGGGAACAGCACGTGTTGTCGTCGTCCGATCCCTGCAAAAGCAACGATTTTTACAGATTACGGAGATATTTCGTAGGTCTCGAAGCGGTGAAACAGCTGCATGTTGAACCTGACAGTCCGCCTTTCGCTTCTTTCGACATTGCTTTATCAAATTAGCAGTGGTCACAATATTCAAAACCTCTAATTATTTCGCTCTCTACAGTATAGCAGTTGCGTATCGCCGACAATATGTCTGTCGATGAAGCGGTCAGGGCCTAATCTGCTAAAGGACATTTGCTTTACAATTCTAATAGGCCGGACTGGTGTTTGGTGTCCCTATAAAGCAAATGCTTCTTCTTTACTTAACAACATATGGACACACATGAGCGCTATATAATAATGAGGCAATGACACCTATTCTCATTAACTATAGGCTGGTATAAGTTTAAGCAAGACAGCTAAACTGATGCATGAGACATACAGGAAGGCCAGGTGTATAATTGGACATTTTACACACGATATCGTTATGCAGTGTGCAGTACAAATTAAAAATTACTTAGATAACATGAACGCTTATTAAGATCACTATAGCGCTAAAAACCGTAAGTTGTTAGAAGCCAGTGCATTTGGTGGCGTGTTTCGATTTTTCACTCGTTTGCTTAGTTTGTTCCGACAGGTTCGGGTATCTCTTAAATATGAACGATCAGATAACAAATTTATCGAAAGAGCTCGCTTGGGGCACGATATATTTAGATCAGCTTACAACATCATCATAGATCAGCAACATACAGTTAGTGATGAAGACGTTACGTTGAAAACGGTAAAACGAAAAGTCCTCAACAAGCTTTGTCAGTAAACAACGTTGCCATAACACTACAGGCGTTCCGACATCTCATTATGTTCAATTCAAATCTAAAAAATAATGTCACGAGGTTTGCGTATCTATTTCATGTCACGATACCTATGATATCCCACTCATACAACTTCGTTCCTAATCTGACCAGAGAACTATTTGACTCTGAAAGTTTTTACCAATAATGTTGATCCCTGTTATTTACTGTTAAACTATTTACTAATTAACCAGAAAGAATAATATATATAGTCACAAAAATAATAAGAACAAATCTATGTACGTACTTTGTGCACAACTGTAAATCACAGATTGCCGCAAGCCGAAGCGCCAGCCTCGCGCAACTCTAGTCGTACATGTAATAGCAGCAGCCTTAGTTAGCGTTTCTCTCGGTGGAAATCTGAAGAACCTCTTCAGTTTGGCTTGTCTTAGCCGTGTACGCATAACGCGCTGATAGAACCAGATAAGAATTGTTACCTACGGCGTTCTGGCAAATAACGTTACGGGCCTGTATATTATAATCTGAGCAAAAAAAACCGGTTGCAATTCCGCAATACGTATAATAAAATATACGATATTGCGAGCTTCCCAATGAATGCTTACGAGAGATCGCTGAACTAGAATGCGCAGATGAGTAAATGTTGGCACAAGCGTTTTGTGACGCTGGTGTCGATCTTTGTTGATGAGTCTTGTTACTCAGAAGTACGCAAAAGGATTTCGAGAAAAACAATCTGCAACGATTTACCGCTCTAGTTCCAGTATTTAGCTCTACCTCATTTCACTTTTAGTACTCTCGTTGCCCTCAACGCCGTTCACTCGATCTGTTCTTGTATTTACGTTTTGTTACGTTCGCAACTAGGAACCAATTAGACATTCCCTATCGCATACGTAGCCTTTCGGATTAGATGAGCGATACATGAAGCACTGGGTCGCGTCCTAAAAAGGTAGAGACGTTATGGGCAACCTTTGCGTTGCGGAAGCAGACTCTCTTAAATGATTATTAAACCGCAGCATAATGTAATTATCTGTATGGATTTGAATGGAGAAAAATGACTCTGTGTTAAAACTATTAAATCGAACATGGCGGAATCTCGGTTAGATATATTGATTTGATTTGCATTGCCAGCCAGCCAGCCAAAAATCTTTCATCTTTTTTCGGTTCACTTTCAGGAAAGGCTGATTTAGGAAAAGGCCAATCGACTCGTACAAACCCATATCTCTTAACGAGAAGGTATTTGTTGATGCATTTTCCTTTTTGAATCTGCATCGAAGATCAGAATATGAACGCTTTTTGCGACGTTGAGACACGCCTTTTTGCTCTGAGATTCACCAGCGAATTTGTCGCCTGCACGCTTCATTTCCGGATCGAAGATTCGAGTTCTGCGAGAAAGCGCGTCCGTCAGTTCGTTGCTACGAAAAAACTATCTCAGTCGAAGCGATCAACGAAGAACTGCGATCACTGACTGACCGACTGACAAGGTCTTTGACACCTGTTTCGTGCCCCTGTTGCCCTATTGTACGGACGGAAAAGGGCTCGGCCTAGTTTCATCTATATTAATGCAATATGAAGATGAATTTCTTATAACGTCTTCAATGGTACCTAAGAATGATTTATGTAACAGCGATAGAGTTTCACTTCGTAACGAATGCTGTCGATTTAAAACGTTTTATTATTTATTAGGCTAGATCTACTCTTAGCGATGACACCGACGGCCAGATACATCGGCACATCGCTAGATAATGTGATGTCTTGGCAAATAGTTAATGAGATCTGTGAGGGAATCATTGAAATTTTCTTCATCTTTCATCGATCATAAGCATCGATTCTGCTCAGTGTTATCGAGAGGCAGATGCATAGACAAATTCTGTGCCCTTGTATAGGCTACGCCCTTCTGTTCACTCCTTCGATGCGCCGTACTACTAGAATACGAGACAGCGTTCGGACAGTGTAATCAAGTGGTGGATCTGGCGATCGTTTTTATTAATTTTCGCTTTACATTACGAGATGTTTTGCCTCGTTAGCTGAAACAAGGTCCTGATTTGTTTGTTGACATTACTTCTCCGGACAGCAGTAATACGCATAATTAAATAAGAAAATTCTATGTAGGACGCGTCGCTGTGATCGCACACCGCTGACGGCAACGCCAAAAGAAACATCCATCTGGTATTAAACTTTTAATAGTCACTGCCTGGAAATCGTCTATTTATATTAGATGGGTGCCTCACAGGCAAGTACTACTTGTGAAAAAACAGACATTCTCTGTGTAGAACGCTAAAAAAAATAGGAAAACATCGCGACATCGTCAATAATAAAGTCAATCGCTTGCAAGAATTAAGTAGAACTGAGTAATTTACCTCGTTATGTTGTGTATTGATAGTGCTGAACTATCTTCCTCAGTCTGAGTGAACTCAAACAATGCACTTTGTTGCCGGTCGTGTCCTGGAAGTTTAGCAAGATCTCGTCAGAAAGCCATGGAAGCTAAAGAAAAGCTTCAAATTTGCTTGAGTCAGCTGACGTGAGCATATTATTGCTAGCTGAATGTCGGAGGATGCTTCTAGTCTCAGCCTTAAGGCCATCGACCCGCTCACCCACTACTGTCAGGCCTATTAGTAAACCGATCAACTGACTAGACACGCTAACCGATTTCACCACTTCTACGGTCTGATCGGCGAACGTATAAACATTTGCCAAGTACGGTCGGACTGCCCTAAAGGGATTCATAGCAACTGACCTAAAAATTCACGTCGACAGATTTAATAGAATATTCTTCCGAGGTCCTTTTTCAAGCGCGCAACCGAATGAAAGGATCTGTTAGACCTTTACGTTCTCCTTGAAAGAACCTATATTATCGCGCGAATAGCCCACGTTCTTGATATAGATTCTAAGTCTAGATCTAGAATAGTTTTGGCTTTGTAATGAACTAGAGTGAGTGATTGCAGTATATGCCTGGCCAATGTTATTCAGTTACGCAATAAATGGTCGTGGTAAAACTTGTATCTCGATGATGCCCTTAACCATTACCGTAACTTGAAGGATAAATGTACTTGCGAAGTGTTCTCTGCTGCATTGTTCAAAATCTATGTAAACCGGATTAATAATAGTTACTTACAGATTAAGGCGGATATTTGTAGGCATTGACTTTTTTCCAAATAATTGTACAAGGAATTTAGGTTTACACTGCCCTGTTAGGAAATGTGTCATTTTTTCTCTTAAGAATACTAGAACGGGAAACCTAGTTACGGTATTGATGGGCTATCTCTACAAACAGCAATCGCCCGCTTATTAACTAGAAGTGATTTTGATTTCAGATTTCTGACACTTTAAAGATATGGTTCGACTACCCGAATTTACAAGCTACGAGGTCAAAGACTCAAAACAATATATTGTGTCTTCTAATTGATTAACTTTTATAGACATTCTGTTATGAGGCATAACTTCAAATAAGATCGGCAGCTACTGCGAAAGGCTTAAACCGAATTCATCTGTCGCGTGGAAGTCGGAGTCCGTGATATTCATTTTACAGCAGCTCTAGAATTCTCATCTAATATGAGAGTGCAAAAAAATTGAAGAATAATGATCCTTTTAGTCAAATTCTTAACGCATTTGAAAAGAAAGACAACAAGAGCATATAGTGTCTAAATGTACGATGACCAATTCAGCCGCAACAAATTAACTTCTTCAAGTGATAAACCATTAAAACTTACTGAGAGTGTTGTGGTAAGATCGGCCTTAAATAGGCCGTATCATGTAAGCGAAATGCTTTGATCGCTGTTATCTTGTCTAACATACCTTTTTTTATGGTGCCTCTATATTATCTCTGTCGTCGATTTCAGTGTCGCGTTGCTTAAGTTCGTTCGCTGTTTTTTGCGCCTCCTGCTCTTTGAACCCGCATCAATCTTCAAGTCCTTCGATCAACGCCACTGCCGTTTCGAGCTGCCGAATCCCGAGTAAACACTGTCGTCATCAGAAGTGTCGATTTTTCGTACAACATGTCTCGGAAGAGCTTGGATTTGGACGAAGCAGCCTCGCTGATGGACGAGCTGTCCATTCAGGGCGGCGATATTGAGGTCGTACCTTCGGTGAGGACCAGTTTGCTCCGACACGACTCAACTAGTCAGTCGACTAGCAGTCGAACCCATAGCTACTCGGAGTTCAACCGAACTAGCCAGCGAAGTAGCCATCAAAGTTACGAGACTACTGTCTCGCTGGGCAATCAGACCCAGTTGTTGCTGTCTGAGCCGAACAACCCAACAGTTACTAGTTCTACACCACAAAAACCCCCTCCGCCACAGAGTCCCCCTCCCGTCGAACTTGATCAGACCAGCACAGACCCCGTTGACGCTAGCATAAGCACAATTGCGTTAACACCATGCCAGGAAAATTTAACAGCAACAACAGCTAGAACGAGAGCAGTCGCAACAGAAATTTCCGCTACAAACGCAACTTCTAGCAGCAGGGCAGAACTTCGCAAAGCTGGTGATAGGGCGCGTCCGGCAAGCGCTGTTACATCCGAAGGGCAAACTAGTCCAGCCCCAGAGGACGTACCACTGCTTGCATACAAGCGCAACTCGCTCAAGGTACTGCTCAGCCAATCTTGCAAAGCTTAAGCTGGTCGCTACTTGTATAACCGTCCCTAGAGGCTCTAGAAACGCCCTTAGAAACTGCATAATATTGTTTGACACCTATTTCCTACTATCATTTGCATCTCTTTTCAATATCGACAGGGTAATTAATCAGTTGATTTTCTCGAGTAGATGTTCAGGTTTGAAGGAGAAGATATAACGACTGGATGTACGGGCAAGCTAATGGACAAGACCTCCATTGAAAAATCGATACTAAGCTTATTGCTTTATATGAAAAGTAGGCTGCAAAAATATTAGAAGCAAACAATGTGTGTTTCAGTGGCGTCATATTTTTTAAGTTAATTGAGTCTTTCTTGGCATCAACTTGTACAGGCCATGATAAGTACTATAAGATGGGCTCTACTATCACTGCATCTGATCGCTTTTTGCGTGTTTAATAACAAAGTTATTGCAATGTATATGATAATATCCATAAGCATGTTTCTTTGCAAGTAAGGGAACATTTCAGGAGAAAAAAAGAAATGTTTTTTCTTACAATAACAAACCTAAACAATCGATGTTGATGCTTATTTCGATATGGAATATTTGCGTGATCAATATAGATGTCTTGACGAGTACAAATGCAGTCGTAAAAAAGCTTTAGGGTGGACACGCCTTAACGTACTAATACTCAAATAGAGTAAACAACCCAAAAATCCGAATTATCAAAAGACACTAATTTCAATAATCAGCACAAACTGGATAGTTCGTTTCTAAAAGATCTAACAAATAAAACGGGCTTTGGGTAGCCTCTTCGGAAATCGAGATCAGTGTTAAGGTTTCGAGATCGGTCCAAATAAGGAATAAACTTATCGCTTGCAGAGCAGCGCCATGAGCATGCCGACGAGTGGTCCTTTTATAGCACCTTTGTAAATCTAGTCAATTCATTTCGAAGGAGCCACGCTAATAATTACCCTGTAGATAGTACTTCTATCGAATCAAATCCTGCCCAGCCTACAGTCTGTCTGCCCAAAGCGCACGCCTACCTTCCTATAGTAATATCTCCCTTGCTATGTATCGGTACTTTGTACTTCTGCGTTTACCATATCGTTATTTGATCGCTGTCTCCAGCCTATCAAGCTTTTGAAACATTTCGATGCTTATGCGATTATGAAAGCGAGCAACAACTCATTATCTAGTAGTAATAATAATAATAAGTACCTGAACTTGTTGAAAAAACTATACGACTTCTACGAAACAATATGTGTCTACCATGTTAGATGGGAAGGATACCACCAGTCATTTTAACCTACGCGAACGACGCGTGCTTGACATGCACATGCAAGGTGACGCTGGTGGCGGCGGCTTACTCATAAATAATAGACTGCCTCCTTTCCTGAGAGCTGGCAATTAACCGTCTGCAATTATGGCGCGAAATACGAATCGCATGTGGAACGCAGAACGCTAACTCATGTCCGGCAGTATCAATGCGGAGCTCAAGGCACTCAGGGACATTACTTTACATATATGTTGTGAGGAGGACTCAGTATCTTCACGATTAACTTCACGAAAGCTACCGGGGTTACCACCAGATAGCGGAAGCTAAAGCGACCTGACGATTTTGGCTCTCTTTGCATGCTTCATATACTTTGACTTTAATTAGTGGTCAGTAACGATTAGCACATCTACATATATAATAGTTTATCGTGATTCACAACGGCTTAATTAAAAATCTAAAGACGCTCAAACACGCTAAAGACTAACATGAAGAATATGCTTTAAAATTAAATTAAAAAAAATTAACATGAAGGATACGGTTTAAGAACCGTAGCGTAGATACTGTTTAATTCTGGGGCGCGAGTATCGCTTTCTCATTCGGATTAGGATAACCCTGGTAGTGTCACTGCACGAAAAGTCCGAGGTTTCTTTCACTTCAGAACAGAGAAATGCAGTTACGCTTGATTGAATTATTTTCTATTCATAGATAATGCCTATCCCGTTATCAAGCTTCAATTACTGTTAAGCGCAGCTGTCTCTGATTAATATAATGATCGCTTGCTAACAGTTTAATTTGTTGGATTGAGATCTAGCCCTATCAAAGGCAATGCCGTTGTTCTTGTTGCACTTAATACGTTTCTCACGGACGGCGGCCCTATTTCCTGGTCGCCGTTTGCGATGCTTCCTTTTCTGTCTGTTTATCTCTCCTTTTTCTTGGTATTTCTGTCTGTAACAGCTGCACTAACCTGATGCGGTGGTCCCCACGTTACGTTAGATGCTTCTGCGCGTAAAGCTTCTAATGCACCCGAAACTAACGTCATCAGAAGGCGACCACCTTCGCAACCCATTGCTCGCCGGTCAACCCGCAGCTCACCGACGCCGTCAGCGCCTAACCCAGGTGGGTTCTACCTAACATATCAACGTCCATTAGCATCTATCCTCAATGCTTTCACCACTAATGAATTCAGCCTTTTCTGACTGACATTGAAAGCAACTAAGATAACCACACACATTCCTTAGCACAGTTGCTCGATTTACATTTACGTTACTATGCGTGAGAGAAGGACCACTTTACGGAATAGGGTTCTTCTTCTTAGGGGTGTATAGATGTCGAGGTCAAAGGTGTCGGATGCTAGATCGTACAGGCTTTCCCATTCTGCAGCATATCATGGCTCGATATAATCGTTCGTCCTTGTCGTTGTCGTTGTCGTTGTCGTCGTCGTCGTCGCCGCCGCCGCCGCTGCCGTTGTTGTTGCACCTGCGATTAAACGCAAACCTGCCAGTGTTTACAATTACGTAACGCTTGCGTAGCTTCAGTCTGCGCACTTTACAATTGGTACGTGTGCCTTATAGCTGGGTCAATTTCTTCGACAAACAGGTACACTCGAACGGAAAATGGCACCCGAAGCTATTTAAAACGTATAAAGAGAAATGGAATGGCGCCACTGATCGCGATGACTGTGAAGGTGATGGTGAGATGGATACCTCGAGATGGGTTATATAATACATTGCATATAATTAGGTTTGATGATGATAATAACGATGCATTTTACTTTCACACTTGGTATCTGATATGGCCGGTATCGACTATCTCGTCGGTAACGGTCCCACCGTTAATCGTTTGTTTTGTTCCGTCTTACTTTTTTTTATTGATTCCCAACCGCATCCATCATGTCTCAAACCGTCTGAATTACAGTCGCGTATCCCGTACAATTAATCAGTCTGTCAAGGGCCAGTCATGTCGTGTTCCATTGCTAGATCTGGCCGATAGGTACCCCAAATCCAACAATCTCAAGGCGGCATCCAAAAGGATCGAGTCTATTAGCTCGACGTAATGTTACTTTCTTTTAGCTTTCTGCTGGTCTAAGGCGGCGCCGACCATTGTGCTTGATTGGCGGACGTCTAAATGGCGCGTTACCGCTTGCCATAATATGCTATATACCCAGTATGATCTACAGTCTATACTCGGCTGTATTGGCAACCCTAGCGGTGCGATTACTCGACGCCGTGTCGGATTGAGCGCCCTCCTAGCAGATGAAACGTTCTCCCCTCTTCTCTTTATCGCTGTCCCCTTTTTTCTTTCTTTTTTTCTTTTTACCATGAACTACCTCAGCTCACCGGTGCACGAGAAGAGTGCAGCGAGCTGTTCTATCGACGCGCTCTCAGAGATCCCGTAAAGCTTTGTCCTCCATGGGACCCAATGGTCCAAATGGAAGGGCAAATGATTAGATGACAAGTCGACGGCAACAGTAAACCGCCGCTAGCTGATTAGCTGCCTTTTTCGACGCTCCGAACTCTGTACTAATGGAGCCTGTATCCCCTATGCCTGTAACCTATCAACGTATCGTACCCATTGTTTGCTCGTCTGACGTTTCATTGCTTTTTGCTTCCCGCGTGCTATTTGCTCTTCGACGCTTGTCGGCACCGGTTCTAGGCTTCCGTTGAAATGCCAGCCACGTTTCCGCCGCCTCCTCCGCCATTTCCGAGTGGGGCGATGGGTGCAAACTCATCGCCGAGTAATGTCTCTTTAGGAGCCGGAACAGTCAAGCGGTCGCCGTCTACTTCCGCAACAGGAGCTCCCTTGGCATCGTTTGAAAAGCCGACAATGTCTTCAAACGTACATCGTAAAAGCACTGACGTTATTACTTCACCCAACAGCTCATTACATAAGCCGTTCAGGTAACGCATACGAGACGGATAAGAAAGGCAGAGACCTTGCGTCTGCTGAAGTTGAATGCATTATCTATTGCTACACTCTGCCTATCCCCTGTTAAATAAAATGAACAATCGTCAAATGACTTACAAACTGCCGAGAGACTTTTGTTTTGCTTTGTATGTATATAACAGTAGTTTTCCTGAATAACGCTACCAAACAACGTATATAAGGCATGTAAAGAATGGCTAAAACAGAACGCAATCTAGTAGTTCTTTGATAGTGTCAAATATCTATCTCTCCAATGTCTCATAAAGTTTCAGTGAACTTCATCGTCGAGTTACACAGGGTCCCATTTAAGGTCACTTGTGCTTTCTCTAATTTACAATATTCGTATTTCAGTCGACGCCGCCGCCTGAAATGGAACACCTGCAACCTATTATCGAGCCTGTACGGCCAGCTGATTGTTGTTGTGACATGCACACTCATGGTGACCGAGGTCATGGACAATACTATGCCATTGTTGTCTTTCCATGTAAGTCGCACACAGGTCGGGTGCTCGCCTTGTTCGAGTGATTATTCAGAAAAAACATGGCATCCCATGAGATTTAAGAGCTCGACACTGTTGAAACGAGGTATTGATTATGCTGTAGAATTAAGCCTACAAACTTAACTCAACGCTACTTTCCAACAGACTGGTTAAAAACAAAGTTGTGAGGTCAAGGTCATGATTGAGCACAGAATAATCCATTAAGTCCGTTGTAAATACAGGTGCCCGTGAATCTTTATTTATTTACCAGAGACATTTTACAGCGAGAATTATACTGTAGAGTGATTGCCTCAGGCCGTCAACACATTTTGTTGGAAATATTGACCTAAACTTTCTAATTTCTGCAAATAGACTGGTGTTAAGTTTACTACTACTGCCGCTACTGAATTAATCTATATAGCACAATTATTATTATTATTTTAACACGCACTTCAATGTTTCCTTGGGGCGTTCCAACATCAGTGCGTCATGTTACGTTGACGTAGACTCCTTTGCTCGGCTACCATGCGGTCTCATTCACTAAACCTTGGATCCTTTTACCTTCAACCCTGGTTTGGACTAATTCTAACATTACTTCAAACATGGCCGACCCATTCCATTCAGGGTTACCTGTACGCGTTTTTGCTTGGCGGTTCCTGTATATTTCTGTTGTTCATTTACGTCTCGTCGATCCTGGACAAGTGTCCGTCATTTAGCAGTCCGTCTTCCTCAGCGACATCGTCTTCATCATCGCTTTCCGACGCTGAGACGGCAACGGGCACATATCGCGGAACGACTTGTGGTGTTGAAACCCGCAAGAACTATACCTGTCCTGTAGAAGTGAGCTGTTATCTTCGAGTGGGTTTATTAGGTAAGTGACGCGAAAAACTGGTGATTTCTATCAGTCATTAAACACAAGGTGTGCAGTAACTTTAGCATTCTGAAAATGACCTACTCAGCTTATAGCAAAATACAATTCTACAATATCTACTGGAGGTAAATTTAGTCGGTTCAATAATATGTAAAAGCTTAATTAATTAATTATAATGGTTGGTAACTTTGGAAGTATTCTGTGGTGATCCAGGAGTACTTTCATCAATGAGAGAAAAGCCGATTGAAAACAAGTTACGTTAGTCTACCAAGAACTCTATTTGCAAGCAGTGCTTCCTTATAGTCTTTGTCCAGTTGGTTCAAGCACCACCTGTCACGTTTTTTACGTTAGGTCAAAACGAAACGTTTCTGACGTCTTTTTTGCAGTGTTCGGGCTAGGCACATTGATCGGTGTGGGTCTAGAACTAAGCAGCGTGATCACATTGCACACGCCCTGTACAGATCTGCTTAATCTCGCGTCACCGGCGTTGCTTGCCGCGTTTGCTTTTATGCAGATGCATTTCTTATTCATCAACGTTCAGGCAAGCTAAATGAAAATTAAATTTGGGTTTTGTAGTAGAAAATAGAAGAGCTGCTATACTGTTGAATATCAACTTATACACAAAAATCTCTAATAGTATAGTACTGATTTAGCGAGACGTCTCCAAAGTCTCTATTAATACTTACGATTTGACTATGTAAAGACACTCGACTCAATCATCAATCAAATCTGTCTCAAAGTTTATTCCACTGAGTCGGTACTTGCGTTAATTCGCTACCTCGACACCTCATCTCTATGTGTATGTACGTTTAAAGTAAATCTCTGCAACATTTGTTCTTTTTTCCAACTTAACTCTAGCGGGCCTCGGAAACCCTGGGTTGCCTTCGGCACATAGCTTTGATGCACCTGTTAGCAACAAACGTTGCCGTCTGGTTCCGCTTAATGCTATGGGGCATATATGAAGAATCAGTCACTCGAGCGCACCGTAAATACGCTACTAGTATTGTGTGGCCTCCGGCTGATTTCGTTCACAGGGAACACGCGATTGACGAATCTGGCAACCACCAGGTCTTTGGTAGGTAACAGGGGGCTGGCAGTAAACCAAGCGAAAAAAGAAACGCGTTAAATGGTATATATATATATATATATACCATTAGAGATATATATGTATCAGCCCATAGGATTAAGTCAGTTTTAGGATCGGCAACATTTTTATTGTTGCTATGACAAGGCTCAGTAACAAGGCTTAAAATCCTTTATTAACGTATTACCCGGAACCGCGTGGACAACGCATTGTCGGAAAACGTTAGAAAGAAAATTGCTTGGCTTGAAGTAATTTTTAGATTCTATTGACTTCCTATTTTACGATTGGGGTCGTTGTTTTGTAACGATCATTTTTCTTCTCGTCTTATTTTTCCACAGTAACAAAGGATTGCCTATGGCAGCCTGATGAAGGAGCTTCGACAGAAAAGTTCCTCAGCCTCGATGACTGCTTGCGTAACTCCACCCTGGGACATATCTGGCAACGTGCGGCACCCTTTCTTGCTCCATTTATCGCTCAGTATTGTGTCGTTGCAATTGCCGTACTATACGTCGTATGGGATAGCTACCACAGTGTCTGCACAAAACAAAGTACGTACAAATGGGTGACTTTGTCAAATAGGAGACACACCCATATTCCATTTTTCCGCCTACGAATGAGACATTCTAGGAGGCAAACAAAACACAGAATTCGCTAGGAACGTTAGGTAAACGGGTACGTAATAAAATGCTAGGATGGTCCATTAATGCCCGTCCGTTGCCTTTTACCGTCATTCGATCATAGGCTGCAGCCAATTGTACACCGTGAGCACCTACCCGACAAATGGCTCCGCAGGAAGTTCATACGATACTCTACGAAATCGCGGAGGAAGGGACCGGGGCGCTGATTGCCAGGGCGGATCTAAAGGACTCTTCCTTGGACTATTAGTGCTCGCTTCCGGTAAATGCTATGCGCCTAAGACGAGCTTGTCCTATTTACGTTTTATCTCACATATGCTTGTTCCCGCTCCGAATATACTGCACGCATCAAGCATTGTACGATTTACGTCTCAACCGGTCGAGTACATTTAGGTATTTGAGTAGAATGGTGTTGTATAATATTTTACAAATACTGTCTTATCAATTGGAATACCGGCGTTAAGGAGTTCTTGTACAGGGAGAAACTAGTGGTAAGCTTTCCTGGCACAATCCAAGGTTTATTGATGTTATTAGACATGTACTAACTCTAATTCAGAATAATTCTATCGTTGCGGTACGAGATGGTCATAAGAACGGATCGAATAAGACTTGTTATCGTACTACCCAAGGATCGAACTGTTACATGTAACGGCATAAACTGTGAACGGCTATCTCCTTTTTAACATCAATAATCCTGGGCTTTGATAACTCGGTCAGACCCCCTTGCGACATTGTAGTGTGACGTCTCTATTGATCGGATTTTTGCCTTTTTGAGACAAATGCGACACCTTTTATGGTCTATTCTATTTCCGTAAGCTTTACCTGGGGATTATAAATGCCCGGGAAACAGCTGGTTTAAACCCGTTAATGCACGGCATATACCCTACCTGTGCCATTTCAACAGACCTGTTTATCTATTTATATTCTCTCCTTAATAATTGTTAGAAATTTACGCGTACTGTGGTTATTGTTTTCGTTGTCGGCCCATCTTTTCACAGGCATCATCGTCCTCATTTTATACTTCGTACTGAGCCAGGAGGGCCTCGAGGCAGATACATTTGTGGCTACTAGCGTATTGCACGCGGTCATCCAAGCGTTATCAGCCGCGGGTTCTTTACTCGGACTGATACAGATTTCTCCGTTGAGTGTCCGCCACTCATGCAGTGCGCCACTGGCCGGATTACTGCACAGGGTTGGCGTGCTAGCCACTCTTAGCTATGCAGCCTTCGCTTGCGCTGCGGCTGCGGCTGGGGCCGATATACACGATGTTTCGCATGCGCTCTTACTGATCGACGGTGGAGCGATGCTGCTCCACGCAGTGACTCAGAGCCTTTTTGTGCAGGTAGGATACTGCTATTAACAAGACTGAATTTGATAACTTTAATTCTAATAGCTTCATTTTGGGTGAGTTCGTTTCGAATTTATGCGCACGTAACCGTGTTGAGCAGAATTTCGTGTGTTGCATATTTAGGTACTGAATCTCAATCGATCGTTTTCAGGGGAAAGCTGTACATCAAGATCGTCAGATATAAATAAGACGAGTGTGATTAGTTAAATAAATGAACCATCAGACAAATATACCGATATGCGTGACATCTTGGAATATTTGAAAATAGATTGTTCTTTTATCATCTTACAATGACTATTTGCCATTTATATTGGCCTAGCATATCCGAGATCGCCGTCTTGTTTGTTTTGAACAAAAAAAAAGTTGTGTTTGTTTTTCTACAGGAGCTCGACACCCGTCAAGCCGACCGGAAAAACTGCCGCAAGGGTCTGCAGGTGGTAACATTCCTGGTGTTTGCTAATCTTGTCCTCTGGCTCATGGAGAGTTTTACCAATCAAAACTATCTCGGCAATGAAGTCGCTCGATCGATGTTCGGTCCGCTGACATGGGCTATCGTTGCTCGCGTCACCACGCCACTAGTCATTTTCTACCGGTTCCATTCGTGTGTGTTCCTCGTTGAAGCTTGGCGACGCTCGCGAGCTCGCTGTGGTTAGGCCTTGCCCAAAGCGACATCTTCAAATCTGTCCACGTCGTTCTGAAAATAGCGAGGACATGGAGATTTCCTTTGGTTAAACGATCACTCTGATTATACTACGGGGCAGGATAAAACAGCAGAAGTATGATCATCCCAACGGCGAACGCATCGTCATTTTGGAACGTGTCTTATCAGAAACCTCAGTAACCGTGCTGATCGCTAATGGAATCGCATACTGCACCTATTAATTTAGCATAGTCTTTTCCGCGCTATATCAGTTTCGCGGAAGAAAGCATGATCCATACTCTTTTCGAAAGTGGAGCCATCCACGTGCGGACGTTGATTCGCAGATGCTCGCATACATATGGACGTAAATACCGTACGAGCAGATCGCTCTACATCAGCCAGTAGCAAGAGGGTTACGAATAGCAGACAACAGGTTTTGCTACAGGCAGACGCATTAAAGTTCGTCTGCTTGAATTCGACGTAACGAGATAGTACGAAATAAAAAAGAAAACATAATAAGACACAACAGGCAAAACGCTCAATTCTTCTGTCTCCTTCCAAGATGAGGTATTAACTCAAGATTTTGAATTGCTTTCACCACTGCCGTACATATCTATCTCAAAGCGCCACCTAGGTTAGAAGATGGATTACGGATAGCGGAGTGGAGGAGCGCCGCTACTGGAGCACAACGGCCATGACGCTTTACCTAACCGCACTAGCTTTTTTTACCGCTTCTTGCTGTCTGTAGCGTAAGCGATGTTGGCAAAGAGTTTCAAACATCAATGACCGCGTGTCTAATATGGTCATGCAAAGCGGCCACTCATTTCACTACAGCTTCAGTATCTTGTAGGTCTGCCGCATCGATATGGTGCAACGCGAGACCCTGAAGACATCAGCAACTGCTTCGGATAACGTGATCGTATCGGTAAACGTCACCTTCACCCTGCCTTCGCGACGCTCCGAGACTTGCGTTCGGACAGATTGCATAGTCGTTTTAATCAGTGCAGATAAGTAGACCCTTGTTTCTGACTAAAGACATGTCTTAAATAAGGATTACAATGACACAGAGCGACACCATGCAAGCCATCATGCATTATACAAAGTAAACACAGGTTTGCCGCCCGGTTTCAGCTACGACAGATGTTTACACCGTTGTTGGCAGTTGCCGAATATAGCAGTGTGCAAGGGCTTTATGTATATATATATTATTATTATCCACATCGTCACTGTGTGGACCTGCTACCTGCTGTACGAGGTGTCGATTTGTCTGAATGGGTTAACGTGTTTGTATGCGTATGTGTGCTTGTTTGCGGGTATACCCGAATAGCATTTGGGTTTCCCTTCACTGACCTATGATCGTACAAATATTAATTAATTAATATATGCGATGAGACGGAACGGGAACAGAAAGCAGACGACTTACGAATAACTGGATTCCATCTTCAGCAAACGGGTCGGATAAAGCTCGTTCTAAATATAGCAGTATTTACTCTATACAAAGTAAACTCCAGCTGTTACATCAGGTAATGCGAATTGAAGCCGCCAGATGTTTCGGTATCAAATACGATGTATGGCGAATGCAAAAAGCAAAGAGTGAATACGAACCCTTGTCATCGACTATCATTCCAATGCCCCTCTCGAGATAATAACATAAACTGAAAATGGCTCTTCGAAAAGGAAGGTCTAGAAGTTGACTAGGTCCCCAACCAGCTAAGCGTCAAAAACTTTGAGTTACTAACAAGCAATTTTGATTTGATTACTTCCTGAGTATAAATACGGTAGCCTAGAGCTCGAGAGCCAAACTCATTAACCGATTAAAACTGAAGGTGGACAATGCTCTACGAGCAAATGAAGTACACAACAATGCTTGACCTCGAACCAAAAATCAATCTCAGTGAAGACACGGTACATCTATGTTACATAGACGAAGAAAATCTTTACTGAGGTAGAGACTCAACTTTCCAATGACATAAAACGACTTCCTAACATAAGCGTTGTGTTAGATGTATCGGTGCGCCAACCAAAGTAACAAGAGTGATATCACCGAGCGAGCCCCACTGCTTAGGAGAGCGTAGTTATTACGAAGACATTGCAATTCACATCCACGATATATATATATATATATATATATATAGATATATAGATATATATAGAGAGAGTGGCGTAGAATGTCGACTTGTGAATGTTTATCCAGATTCTGTTGACAAAGCGTAAATACCGTCATGTAGAAAAAAGGACTTCACAGCTGTATTATGAAGATGGCACTAGCTATATGTAGTATGTTTCAATAATTTGCCTTGCAGAAAAACATGGGGCGTATATACAGTGTACTTCTGTCACATATACACATATTATAATATAATATACGTATTTTTGCTAACGGCCTAACCTAAGGCTCGTTTTAAATTTCTATCTATTGCTACTAAACTAATTGTGTGACATTTTAGGAACAGCATCAACAAGTGTGAATTGTCCATTTGCCGAAAGGGCAAGGCCAAAGCCAAACATTACTCTCCGAATTTCAGCTAAAATAGGCAGGCCACCAACAGAGCCGGCCTAGCGAGATTTCGGTCAAGGTCGACTCGAAGCTGACGACAGTGACCGATCTAATTATTATTAGTGCAGGTCGTATTATGAAGTTATCGCCCGAACGTGTCCAAGTACGACAACTGTTTATTTCCGTTTTAACTTCGAAATATGTGGTACGAATGATACAAAATGACACTGCATCACGTATCACAGCAGAATGAATGAATAAATAAATTAATAAATGGGCTAAAACTTTGTTGAGATGTATGGCGCACTGTGATTCTACGATCGACGCACATATGCCAAACATATAGACGCCTAAAGTGTCACACTAAGGAGAGCAAACCTTCGTTAACCTTTTTTCGATCCGTTTTTTAATTCGTTTTTACGAATGGGTATATGGCTTCATCACTTTAATTATAGTAACCAGCTTCTTTTTTTTTTTTTTTTTATTAAAATGCAGACAGGGCTCTGTAATGTGGAGGATATTTACACTACGAATGCTATCAACAAATATTGTCGTCGGGCCAACTCATCTATCGTTGTGTAGCAGTTCTGCGTAGAATAATCATCCCTGTTCTATCTGCGTTAGCCTTCCTAAACATCCCTAAAAAGTCCCACTAGAAGTCCCCTAAAAACGGTCGAAAATTTCGAAGACCGTCATCTAAACTTCACAGCCGGTAGAGACAGTTGAGTTAATAACATTAAGAATTTACGGCACAATTTGCAGACAACTAATAGAGTATCTGATTCACATAACGAATACATTTAGAAGGTGTGTAAACGTATTTTTTACTTTTTGCTGCAGAAATTTAATAGAAATACTTGACCAAAAGTTCGACTGTTTGTGCCAAGTACCTCTCATAAGCAGGTATTTCGGATCTCGTGAGTACACCTAGAGTCAATACGAAATACCCATATGATGATTTCTAATACGCAGACGACGAACGATATCTAAGCCCAGCACCTACAAAGCTGCCTACTTGCATCTCACAGAACTGCTTATGCTGTGCCGCAGGTGGGTCATAAACAGAGACTTCGCACATTCTGAATATTTAGAAAGAAGTGTCTATATATGTCCTCCATCTGGCCTATTCCTCATTCAGCGCAAAAGGAACCCTGATGTGTGTTTGGCCTATCCACTAAAAGCAAACAGCCGGAGTTCATTAACACATCATCGTGTCAAACTGTTGCCACACGAATTACAGCAAGGTCATGAAAAAATTTTTTCGTGGGTCTTACTGGATCCAGACGGCTGTGGCCTATGGTATTTTAGCGTTAGGTAGGCTCACTTATGACCTTTCCTAAGCATCGTGAGGCGCGTCGCTTCCGGTTGCTAAAGGAGAAATTATTGATAGCTGAAACTGATCGAGGAAAAATAGTCGTCGTTAGGAAAAGATAGAAGGGAATTAAGTACAAATCCTCTATGGTGATGACCAATATTAAATACGGCTAAGTTCACTGTGGCAATAAGCAGGGCATGCGACAGAAACGCGACATCCTACCACAGGCAGGAGGATGAATGAAGGGAGTGCTGGTTACTGTGCGTTTGCTGTAGCTCGGATCGGTCGCCATTGGCTGACTATATGTTTAAACAACTGTATCAATTTTTTTCGATCGCATCAATCAACACATTTATATAGAGGGTGTTACAGAAAAAGTAAAATTGCGTAAGAAAAAAAAAACAGCGCGGTTTCGTCAACGAAAAACTGTCGACAACATATAATAATCGAGTGACAATTGATGAAATAATATGTTTTTACCATAGAACAGCCAATAACAGCTCAGCTCGTCTGTTACCTGAACCTGATACATGGAGATTATACATATACATTGCTATTTGATCTTAATAAAAGTATGTTTTTATATTCGTGTGGTTGATTGGAGGTTCACCCGAGATCACGTATTTGACGTAGAAAATACGGACTCAGATGTTGGTTGAATGCTATATTATTGAGACGAAGAATTTCTATTTCTCCACTGTTACACGTAGCTTTAACATTTGTACTAAACTCTGTTTCAGTGGCTGTTATTACGCGGCTAACTAAATAAAATATTTGAAACGCCTAAAAGGTAGATACTCGTTGAAAAATTAAAGTAGGCTATATCAGCCTTTTGGAACCTGCCTTAATCATACAGTATAGAATGCTATATGACAGCAAACAGCAACTGGTCGATTACTATCAACAGCTTCGAAAATATATATCGATATCTAAAAGTTAAACTTGATGGGGACCTTTCTTCGCGACCTGTGTCAGTAGCTCGCTTATGTATGGAATTTAAGTAAAAATTGCTTATATATATATACATAGTTGTAAGCATTTGCTAAACAGCGCGCGCCTGCTAGGAAATTCATGGAAAAAAAGCAGATCCCTCTTAACACCCTAATACACGTTTGATTGAGTATGCATTAATTACATGTTGATTGTCATGTGGTAATAGTTTACTCGACTGTACTTAATCAATATGGTAATCATACGGTTTGCGACGCTATGTGAGCATGGAAGAACCCCCAAGAGCCTGACTCCCGACGACGCAAGAGACGAAAATAAGATTTTTATTTTCGTAGAAACAATATTACTTTCTATACTATTAAATGCTTTAGAATTAAATCTATCGATCGGTATCGTCTATCAATCCATATATATCTATATAGATTGATAGACGACAGTGATCGATGCTAACAGCCTGTACGTTTTATCCTTGCTTGAAAATTCTATCACATTTTCTTGTTATGACTATTGCGTCTCAGTTGATAGCATTGAAAACATGAGTTTTGATTATTGTAGACGAAAATGAACCGAGACAAAGCTAAGCAGAGAGATCAGCTACCCAAATCCCTTCTAGCCGCTTTCAGTTCAGTAGTTAGCTAGCTTATGTATCGCATACAGCATATCGAGAGCCGGAAGGAAATTCATGGTTACCTAGCTCAATTATCTAGCCTCGAACATATCGCTGATTATGTCACTAGCTAAAATTAGTGCTACTTCAACATTTTGATACTCGTATAGGTTTTCACATCTGCTAAATTTTGAACGCGTTGTGTCCACACGCTACACGTATACGCTCAGTAAATATCCGCTAATATTTTGACTTAATTTAGTCTAAAATATCGAGCAACTTAGCAAATTAGCTTGTCATCAGTGTTTACTGTCAATCAATGTACGATTTATATATTCTTATGTACAATCTCCGATAGATCATTCGAGCTCTCCAAACAGGACTGCGTTAAGAATGCATCAGATTATGTATTACGCTGCGAAGAGACGGATTTAGTATCAAACACCATTACATTTATTTTACAGTCATCTGTCTAAAGACAGTTCCACTCGAGTATATCTAATGCTTTACAATGATCAGAGGCATCTTTCACAATGTTCTACGGTACGTCTCAGCATATTAACATGTGGATATCGTTGCCCTCTGGGGCAATCTGTGCAACAGTCATACAAAAAAGGCAAAGCACATACAGATTACATTTGTTTGTTCAAAGAAGCACCAAAACCATGTATTTATATATACACAGAATATACAATGCTATATACATATATAGCATTGTATATTCCACACGCAGCCCAGTGTCTCAGGGCGCTCGTCAATTCCATAATTCTCTTTTTAACTACTGCTCGTTTATTGGTTGTGCGTATATTCGTCCTCCGTGGTTAAAATCCGGTAGCGATCATTTCCAGGTTTTCCTGACAGATACATCTTCGGCATCCCGCTTGACCAACACTTTGACCACAGCCATCTCAAAGTCTTCTTGGGTAACGTGCATCCGGCCTTCTCGCAGGGCGTACATACCGGCCTCCGTACAGATAGCCTTGACCTCGGCACCTGATGCGCCGGCCATTTTTTCGACGATCTTTTTCAGGTCGACATTTCGGGTAAGGTTCATCTTTCGGGAGTGGATCCGTAAAATATCGAGACGTGAACGTTCGTTAGGTGGTGGGAACTCAATTTTTCGATCAATACGACCCGATCGTAAAAGGGCAGGATCAAGCACGTCAATCCGATTCGTTGCCATTATCACTTTGATATTTTGGGTCGGCTCAAATCCGTCCAATTGATTAAGCAATTCCAACATTGTACGGTGAACTTCAGAGTCATTGCTGTCGTTGTCGGCTTCTATTGTTCGCGCACTGCCGATTGAATCGATCTCGTCCACGAAAATGATTGAAGGTGAATGTTTTCTAGCCATAACAAAGATGTCGCGCACCATACGTGACCCCTCTCCGATGAACTTCTGCACAAGTTCTGAGCCGGAAACGCGAATAAACGCACACTTTGTATGATGTGCTACGGCTCTAGCCAGCAGAGTCTTGCCGGTACCCGGCGGCCCATATAAGAGAACGCCTTTTGGCTGGGTTATACCCAGCGCTTCAAATAGTTCCGGGTGTTTTATGGGGAGCTCGATCACTTCCTTGATTTCCTTTATTTGGTTGTCCAACCCGCCTATCATTGAAAAGTTCGAATCGGGCACCTTTTCTACCATCATAAGTGAGACCAAAGGGTCTATCTTATCGGGCAAAATCTTGTGTAACTTGTAAGTATCCTCGCGCAGAGCTACTCGACAATTCGGTGTCAGCTAGAAAATATCAGCACAACAACAACAACATATTTGGTGACAAACAGCTTTGTTCGAGGTTATGTCTCTTTGCTGAAATATGAAAATCATTTAAAGAATAACAGAATATTCAAATATTGACGTCGGTTACGGTACCTGTTTCATGTCGATATCAGCTTCAACGTCAACGATATACTTTTCCTCGGGACTTACGTGAACCAATACCTTGTTTTCAGAAATACGTTTAACAACCTCACCAACGTAAGAGGCCCGGTATCTTAACCGTTCAAGTTCCTCTCGTAGAGCGCGCACTTGAGCATTCAATTCGTTTCGTTGTGCCTGAAGTCTAGCAGATAATAATTTCGTACAAAACTTTTTAATTTCGATTAATCCTTCAGACCCTTTCTTATTAAGTTGGGAAAGACGTCGAGTAAAATACAGATCTACGGTTACAAGGTAGACTTCCAGCTGAACTATGATAAATTTCAACATATTTAGCCTTTCTTTGCTCGTTGTTCGTTTCGGTCGACTTCGGGCGTAAGCCACCGCTAAGAGCGTAATTCTATCTCTTCTCCCTGTAAATTGCTTTAGATCTATAAAGTTGGAAACTTTCAACTGTTTTCAATTTTTGGGACACATTCGTCTGGTATTGATCCTTGAGCTAGTAGGAATAGTCTTATTCGACTTACCTAATATCTTTCCAGTAGACCTACAGAGACTACAGTAAATAATACCAGTTCACTTATATTTGCTAACGCTGATTTTTTAATTAGCGACGGCAGATGGGTTTGCTACGATTACGATGACATTGCTTTCCCAAGGATTATATCTGCTAACCAATAACCTTGCGTTACAGAATTAGAACCAAAGGGTGAATTGCGACAATTTACGTGCAATCGAGGGTGCTTAACTAGCTATACTTTGTTCAATATATTTTCTAGATAAGTTGGAGGCGAAACTAGTCGATTCTAAGTCCTTGTGTAAAGTAACTACTATTGAAGCATAACATTAACGCCTTTTTTATGCCTCGCTATTTCTGCTAGAGAAAATCGAAAAGGGCCTTAAATGTGATAGAAATAGATCTTAAAATTGGATCGAAAATGCACAAGATAATATGAAAGGGTTTTTGCTTAAACCCACTAATATGACTCCTTTTTACTAAGCCCTTTACGTTGATTAAATGTACTTAACAAATCAATTTTTTTTAAAACAGTTACCAACTAACTTGAGAAAAAGTAGTGTATTGTCACAAAGCGTTGGCGATTCGTGTGATTTGTCTATGCAAAACAGGAAAATGGATAATAGGAAGTTAAAAATGTAATGTAACATTTACTCGCACTCCGACATAGTGCGAGAGACCTTTCCAGGACATATCTTTCTTTCATTTAGAATCGATCGTTGCCGCTTGCAAACGTTAGCTGACATCCGCCTCTAGTGTGCACGCTGTTTCTCGGGTTCAGCTAGAAAGGTGCGCGTCGATTCCATCCGGGAGCCATAGGTCACTGGCTGGAAGAACCTAATAGAGCTCAACATTGACGTACAGATGAACGTACCGGAGAAACAACGTACAGATCAGAGAACGAGACTGAACCTATGAATTGCAAGAGGATAACACGACAACGAACTTCGTGTTTTTTATTACAGGTCATATTCATATACAACCTTCACAGTCAACCTAAGACTAGATTATAATTTTAATAGTACCGTTCGAAGCATCTTTTTCACTAATGTCTCGATTATTTTTGGGGCCCAACTAAAAATTCAACAGGCAAAGAAAATTCAAACAAATGGAACATTTAATGCTCATTGGCAAATAGTTACAGAGATTCAGCTATCGTACAGCACATCGCGATAGGGCATTGAGGCCTCTCACCCACTACGCGATACAACAAATATCTAATTAATTGTTATCTAACTAACAACTGGTATTAAAAATATTGACCTTGCTGTGTCGATAAGTGTGAGCTTCAGAAACGGTGTGGTCTAAGTGTATATTGGGTCCCCCGTTGCCATGGTAACCATGTTCTTGCGTCCCTTGCCGGTAAATTTCAACGTTCGCGTATGGTTGCTATAGCATGTGGTTATCGTGCGGTTTTATACATCTGCTGAATACACCCTATGTAGGCCCATAAAAACCTATTTCAATTAGATCTTTCAGTGAGAACAAGGCCTTGATGCTATATCGACTAGATGATTCCGAAAGCAACTCGAAGGCGTTAAAAAAGGCAATTGTGAACTCTACGTAGAGTACTTTTGCATTTGAACTTTTGCGTTGAGTTTAATCAGCACTTTGATGTTTGAAAGGTTTAGAATAGGTTAGATTTAGATGTAGATACTTTTAACAGTGGCGAAATGCAGAAAATTGATCAGTGCGAGGAAGCTAGTCATACTATGTATATATAAAACGGAAGTCGTCTGGAGCCTGTAATTAAATTCAAACAACCTATGCCTGAAACTGAATATAAGCACCAAACTAGCTTTTAGTACGAAAAAAAAGTTTCACAATAAACTCGTAATATTTGTCAAAAAATATTTAATTTTAATCGTAGTGTTCGTGTAGTGAAATTGATTGACAATATACATATGAATTAACCCTATTCACAGATACGATTGACCGATATTGCGACAATATTAAGGCACATATTTAAACTATAGAGAAAACAAAAGGGCCTACAAAAGAACAGAGGATTTGAAGCACAATGTTTCTTAGCCTTTCGTTGTCGTGGTCAAGGACGTTTATTGACTCATCTTCAATCGATTATGCCTATATGACGGCACAAACTAATCAATTTATGTGCTTGAATCTTATGGTCACTCGAATCTCGTAAGTTAGCTTTTCAAAATTTGTCAAAACAAAAAATTTTTTATTCAGTCGAGCTATATGAGAGCAGGTACGACTCTTCCCAGTGAGGCCATAGAAGACCTCACTTATTATATAGATCTAGTTATTCTGAAAATAAAAAAACAGCGCTTTTCTACACGACATTTGATTTGTATGGGTTTATACATGTCTGGAGTCTTTGCTATATATGCATTGACTAAACGATACAATTAAACAACTATTGCGTTAAATGGCGGCAGACATTATTAATAAAGATCTGAACCGCAAACGAATCATGGTGAATCAATCGCTATAATCAATAACTGTCAGTATCATAAAGGCTCCTCAATTTGTGTGATCTAGTCGAATAAAAAAGGAATTTCTCCTAGAAATTCCTTTCTTTTGGTAACGTAAGATAAAGTAAAATATAAAGTAAAAATTCTTTTCCTCCTAGGAAAAGAGCCGTTACCTTCGAAGGTTCCTTGTCTTGTATGACACAATGTTCTCGAGTACCTCAATCTTTGCAATATAGTAATTCCGTAGGCCAGGTTTCGAGGGACCAGACCGCCTTTTCTTCCTGCCACCTATCTGCACGTGTTTGAATCATCAAAGAACCATAATTTAAACGCGCTGGTACAGCTGAAATGCTTCAAATAAATCTTGTTAATATCTAAGCACCCGATTCCTTCTTAACGATTTTAGCACTTTTAAACCCAATCGTAATTTAGATTAGTACCGACCACAAGCAGTCTTACGTAAAAGCATTTGACAAAAGTGAACAATAATCGCTATACGGTCCGATGACGACACATGAGGCGATTTTTACCTAATATTTTAGTTTTTTTTTAAACTTTTATTTTTTATTTTTACATTTTTTTAGTTTAGGAAAAAATTAATTTAGAATTGAATAATAATAATAAAAAAAAAAAACAAGCTCAAATCGGTATTTTTTTTTCCTGTTGACACTATACTCCCCTTCGTAGGTGACCCCCGAGGAGAACGATCAGCGCTTGGGCTGCCTTTCTTCAGTGGCGTCTGACCTTTACCGACCTTGATTGGTGGTACCGATTCGATAGAAGAAGACAAGTTATCCACCTGCCCTTCGAACTGCCCCGGACTTTGGGCATCTCGTTCGCGCTTGGCAGTGCATTTCGTCAAGGGCGTTTTTTTGGAAACGCCTGACACAGTACTTTCAATTGACGACGCCTCTACTAAGCTTGAACATGTTTTCATTTTAGCCCAGTCCGTTGCATCGGATTGCCCTGACTCAAGCACTAAAGATGAACCTTCATTCATCATGCCTTTTTCCGACTTTTTGTCCGCTCCTTTCAGACACTCTGCTTCTATGCTAGTCTCCTTCAAATCCTGTCTAGCATCACTTTTTTGAGTGCTGAGTGTATACGACTCACCTTTTTGGGAGCCTTCTGTAGTATTGCTGCAATCCTCTTTCTTTGGTATGTGCTCAATCTTTATTAGTTCTATTTTTCTCACATCTGCAGGCTCAAAGGCGTCTTTTTTATGGTCGTCCCTTTTCAGCATATTCTTTATTTTATCCAGATCGTTCTTTAAACTCTCTGAATGGTAGTTGCTCATAAGCGCGCTTTTAATCTTTACCTTATCTTTTTTTCTGCCTGTCTCTGGTTCCGGCACACTTTCTCTTTCACTCGTTTTCAAGACGAGTTTTGCCACCTTTGGGTCTAGATCGAACCCAGTGGGTTCCTTGCCAGCCTTGTTATTGTGCTCATCAGCGTTCAGGGTCCCCGACTCTTGCTCGTCTCTTGTCTTCCTACTCTCTGATTCTGGTCCATTTTCTTTAACACTTGCGTTTAGCAGATTGTCCGCGTTTTTGGTTATATTTTTTTGGTTGTCGCTTCTTGAATTCTCAGAATCTGTGTTCTTTTTCTTCACGTCTCCAGGCATGTCTGAACGGCTGTCTTTCTGGTTGTAGTTTTTGCCTTTCTAAACTGTCTGACTTCAGTCGTTATTTCGTAACGAGCGTTCTGCTTCACACCTTTGCCTTTAGAATCCCTAAATCTAAAGTTGCCTATCCCAGTGAATATTCTTCGTGAAAGTCATCTTTTCTTGTTTTGATTGGCTCTTTGTTTGTGACCCTGTTGGTTGATCCACCTGGATGAATTGACTTCAGTTACCTTAAGAGCTTCGTTAACAAGGCTTTGTTGTAGTCAAAGATGGTAATGACACTGCGCTCTCGGGCGATTCCGCGTTTTTAAGAAAAATTGGCTGCTCGAACTCCAACTCTGAACTTACTCAGACGCTATATTTAATCGAAAGAAAACATGTAAACATACTCAGTCGGATGCAATGACTTGATGTTTATTATTATTACCCCTGTAAGAATGTTAATTGCGTCTCGATTGTTTAGTACAATTAACACTCCGCCATGTAAACTTCATAAAAATATTATTGAACAATAACGATATTCTAAGTTTCTATTCTTAGTAATAGGTCCGTTTAAACATCTATCTCTCTACCTCTAGTTCCCTGCAAGATTTATGATGATAGAAGAGGTTGAGTGATATGATAGAATACTTCTCTCAACATTTTAATCGAACATCCTTTCCTACTATAGTTTCTAATCGGAACGTTGCAGACAGGCCTCTCCAGCAAGAAGAGGACAAAACGATCAGGCCGCGCTTTCCTTCGACAAAGTAAATATTTTGCCCCGGGTTTTTACTCTAAATCTGAGGCCCCCATTAATATAATTGTGCGCTGATCATGAGTAAGATGCTGTGATCAAACCTGAGCCTTTGGTACCGACCGACTTCGCAGATGTGGACTTCCTATTGGGTTAAACCCAACAAGTGGATAGAATTTTCACCTTCCAGGTGATACACGAGATTCTTCAAAAGTTTCTTGATTATGGGGTAAAATATTTCTAGGTATTCGATATAGTCATAGATTCCTGTGGAGTACTTCGTTTCTTTAGATACAAAGCTGTTGCCTCGAATCGAAACGGCCATTTCCTCATCACGCTCATTATCGCCGAAGGAAACAAAGGCAGATTGAACGTGTATTGGCTACAGAATGATATGAACTCATGAATATAGCTCGTAAGATCGATTATTACTCTATCATGCTAAATTTTCATATAACAACATGTACGAAGATGTCCACTGACTGTCGTACGCTAAATCAGTCGCCTTCTTATTAGACGTTAGACTGCCGTTGAGTTAAGGACTACGTATCTAGCCGAGTCAAATGTTGATAGACATTGTTTTCTTAAGAATAGTTTCTAGTTGTTGTGTTAATAATGGAATTTATCAAAAACAGCTTTTTTTAGCCGGCTGAGTGAAGGTTTTCGAGACTTTTATTTTAACGCTGTTTAGGATCCTTTGTCTCAGCTTATGAAAATCGTCGTTGCTTTGAAAGCGGTGTGGAAACAAGCAATAAAGCAGGCCATCGAATTTGTGCAACTGAAGGTTCAAACTTGGTAAGGGGTTGTCCAGCGCGACCCAAATATTGGCTAAGCGCTGATGCAGCAACGCACTGCGTTCCATCACGATCGAAATATTGTTAATGTCCTGCTTGGAACAAACGTCAGCGCCAGTTCGGATCATTGTTTAAATTGGTGGCGGATACCCGATAAAAGTTGTAATTTTGTCGAATCAGCTATATATCTACGATCTACAAAAGCCCAAATATGGACAGATATGGGCGCATTTCTCCCTTGATAACACGCCGATATTATCCGCGGATATCAAATGGCGCATAAATATGAGTGGTTTCATGGAAAAAAGCATTCCATACTTCACTGGTTTACCCATTGGTCTTGGTAACTTTTAGAGTACTTAATAATACAACTTGAGAGTTGAGCTTATATGCATGTCAATTTAGTCTAAAATAATTCTAGTAATAATAATAATAATTTCTATTAAACGTATATATATATATATATATACATAGCTTTTTTAAATTTTATTTTATGATGAACTTGCCGACACGCGTCGGTCTCAAACAAAAAATCAACGTCTTATCACTGGGTTTAAAAATATTGTATTTTTATTATTCGTACGCGACCCACCACGTCAGGAAGGGTCACCTGTTGTTGAGAAATGTTCGCCCGTACAAAACTGCTAGACCGCATACTAGTAATGTATGTAGTAATGTACTAGCACTAAAAAATTCTATTTGAGTCTAGTTGGTGCTAGGGGATGGGTCAATGAAAGTGGAGATCCATTATGCGAACCAAATCTTGCCCCTTTCACCCAGAACCTTTTGCAGGTCACTCAGTGATAAGTGCTATGTGCGAAATATACAGCCTGCTTTAAAACATGGTCATTGTCCCTTCCATAAACGGATAACACAAAAGCCTTTTATAGATGAGCTGAGATTATGGGCGATTAGAAAAACTCTACCTATCGGTGAAGTAGACACCTGGCGGTAACTCGGAATAACCGACTACTCATTTAACATATGAATCAATGTGTATAAATAACTTGGCATTCCTAACGTAGTCTTTACAACACACATAGACCCATTCTAAAGACATTTTGCACTGACACCCAACCCAATTTCGAAGAATTTCTACGCTACGTTCTCTTTGCCGCAGTGGATTTTTAACGGCCGCCCTTGGAGCTGAGGCAGTAGCCTTCATCACTGGAGCTTTTTCCTTGGCCACAGGTCCCTTTCCTGCCATGGCTTCTTATAGCACTACCCTATTTTTCAGCTTGCTTCCAACCACTTATGCGTTCAGCAGCGGCAGAAGCACTAGCTGTAGCTGGAACTTCATGCACGACAGCATTTTCTGCATTACTTTTGAAAAAAGCCCGCCTTCAAACAGTCCCGGGCACGGAAGCCATCCTCGCCAGGCAACGCCGGTGGACAAATAATTGTTATGAGAATAGTTATTGTCCTAGTTGGGCAGACTTAACTGCCTCTCAGGCAACACGTCCTCGTTACTGTCGGCCTTTTCCTCCGAAAAACTGCGAGATTAGGTGAACTTCCATCAAGTGTTAAAACGTCAAAAGCGAGAGCTTCCTCGTTTAACTTTCCATCGTGATTTTTTCGAGAACACGGGCCATTCTGCATGCGTAAATCGATACACAAACCCTCGCTAGCGTCAGACATATTTGAAGCGACGGCGCTGTATGGCAGAATGTCAAATGCAGACGCATTCCGCATCGTTAATGTTTGTTTGTATTGAGGTTGCTATTAAATCAGGTGGAGTGCGCGTCTCAAGGGTACAGAGACCGTGCAATTTAAAGTAACGTGAAAAGTAGACTGGGTTTTAACGTGACTTCATACCGTACTAAAAGCTGAAGCGTTTGTGAACTTCTGTTAATAAGTAGCTCAACAAACTTCACAAGGGCCTCTGAAAGAGGCATTTAGGATTTTCAGTACGCTGACAGGCTTACAAATGAATCTAATAGATGCTTATGTTGAACAGAAGCTGAAAACGCGAGCCGCTAATGGCAGTAGCGTATAAAGAGAATTTCGCATTGCGTAGAAATACTCTCATATCCCCCAAAATACAATTGCGCTAACGATGACTTGTTCATTAGTAGTAGACGTTAGCCAAAACGTTACATTCGTGAACGTGAATGTTCAAAATTTCAAAAGAGAATCTTCGCCGTAAAAACGCGTACGAAGAGACACACTTGTATTTGATGACCTTTACATGACATTTGTATAGAACGCCATTCCGCATCTCGGTACCACGCCGGTTAGCTAGGCACCGCCCCAAAATGTACGCAGGTTAGTCGTAAACGTTCCCACCCTTCGATTTTGTTAAACGTCAATATTGATATTATCTAAGGTGGTTTTCTCCTTTAGAAGTTATCCTTGCAAGAAGAAAATATGTTTTCTTTTTACATGACAATAACTTATTAGAGATCTACTGTTGCCTATTTGATGTCCCGACACTCTGATTATTGTTATTATTGATGTTATTCCCAAAAGCAATATGCTACCATTTAAAGCATTTGTCGCAATTTTGCCTAACTTGCTTCTGTTACGCGTACCTAAAGCATATCAAACAAGTTGACCATAAGTGTAACTTCATACTAGGACCCTAAATAATAGCCCTAAACATCTACTAGATTTCAGTCATTCAGCAGGCGTCGATGGCAAGTAGATCTCTATTAGCATCAACTGATGGCGCAAAAGATTGCAGGACATGCTCACGGACCTTAACCTTAAACAGGGCGAGCGAGCTACTCTCTGCAAATGTATGAAGAAAAATTTAATTTTTTCTAGTTCCGAACATTTTTCGGCGCACACAGACTAATGGGTAGCAGTTTTTTATAACATAAGGTAGCAAAAATATTGTTGAGAGTGTTCCTTTTTCCTCTAAATAAGTAATAGGTTAGTTATAAACGTTAGTTCCTCAAAGATTTTGTACCTGGAAACATTACCGCGCTGTAAAGTTACCGCGCATTTAACACTAATATACAAATCTGTCTATAGCCGTTTTTTGCTTCCACGGTATAAGTTCGGGTGATGACGGCACTAAACGTTTTAGAGCTGAAAGGAAAGGCTTTGAGGCTATCAAAGAAATCCGAAAAAATTGTGACGATGAAATTTGAAAATTGCTCTAATGATTGATCTGGACGAGTACATTACCGTTCGAAGTGAGGTTTTTAGGTTTTATTACGTTCGTGCGCATATTCAGTCGGTATAGAGGTAAAATACCGATGCTATAATATTTACATTCGGTAGTGATTTGAAAAAGAACGGGACGGGTGCTATTCTTAATCTCTAAACCAAGAAGCTTTCATCACTAGATTTTTTTAAATTAATTTCTAGGAAAATGAAATTTCAGTGACGAAAACAACCACAAGGCCCGTTAGCATCCAGAGACAGAGCTAAAAACAACACTCTTTTTACCAAATGCTGTTTGGACGATTGTCGTCTGAGTTTAACATCATCGATACGAGTTACAAGGCCCATGGAAGTTGCGCACCCATAGATTTACGAGGGAGAGATGATGGATCGTCCATGGGCGAGGGTCGAGCACGAAATTAAGCCGAGAGTTCCAATTCTACTGGCTGACGGCTGAAGACGGCCAGCCTTCGCGAGCCAAACTTGAACAGTTAAAACTACGCAAACTCGAGAAGGATTGTAGGGAAGCCGTATCTGTCGTTGCGGCTACAAGTTGAGATTTTAGTGAACTTTCGCTATAAAACCGGTACTTCAGAGGTTTGAACTAGTGGAAATGGTTATTTTCATTGTTTAAATCTTGTAAGTGATCGCGAGTGGTATTGAGGAGGTTGGCAGGCTCGACGCAGATCATTCGTGGAATTACTTTGGCAGATAGAGCTAATTAAAGCGTGCCGGAGAGGGTGTTCTCTGAAGAAGGGCAAGTATCTTCACGAAAAAAGGCCCATGCACAGCATGGGATGCGGAAACTCCAAATCCGTCACTCCGGTTGAGACCACGACAGCTAACTCTACCGGTAAGCCAAGCACACCTCCACTCGGTATAAAGTTCTGTACAGCATATTAAAACTATATAAAAATAGAAACAACGCAGGTTATTGCAGTGGCTTCAAATTGGGCCTCTGGAATATTACGTTGTAAACAGTCAAGCCCCAAATACATAAGCGCCTTTATCCTCCGTTAGCAAGTATGACTTTCCCAGGATGAGTTGCCAAAGCCATTTGGTTTTTCAGTCTAATCGTAAAAAAGGCAACTGTTTTTAGTGAACACCGGGCCCACGGCTTAGGGACAAACACTGACAAATTCGACTCCATTCGTTTTATGCCCAATTTAATTCCGCACTGGAAAAGAAAATGTTAAGTTTCAAATACATTTACTGGAAACTGTACGTTATAGCTGACTGTCCTTATGTCCTAGAGGTTTTTCGGACTATTCTAGAACGCTAGGGAACGTAACACGGACAGTCAGTGGTACTCAAATCATTAATGCTGGCAGATTACGCAGCTACCCTAACATGCAGAGAAGGTTGCTTTATGATCGGCTTCTACGCGAGTTATTCGATTCTCGTAAAAAAAATAATGCGCCGAATCGATAGGCTTTGCCGACTCTAACTAGGACTTTCATGCGACGTTATCGATCCTGTTTGACAAGGAGGTGAGGAGTTCTAAGAACTAGGTCAACAATAAGCGTAACACAACATAAGCAGACTGCATTTTAAGGTGTTCGGCATTGTGAGTTAATCAATGAGCTTTTTAGGGTGTAAAATGTTGTGATACCGGACAAATATGCTCGAGTGATCGATGGAACTGGAAATGTTGTCTGTTCGGTGACAGATTTATGTGTAAGTGTTCAGAACGCGTACAATTGCATTTTACAATTGAAGTTAGAAAAAACTGCGTTTTAGATGCTTACTGCACGATAATGTATATTTGTATGGGATTATTTTTGCAGTGAAAATATACTAATGAACTCGTCCACTAACTTATAGGTTCCATCTTACTTAGGTAATTGTTTCTGTAGATTGCACAAGTTGATTCCTATTCAACTTCAGTTTGTCAGAAATTGACCACCTTCCCATTAGTACGATTTCTGATTGCGGCTGAAAATGCTTTATGTAAGCTCCTAAGTTTGAAAAGGGCTCCTGGGTGTAAGCTCAACCTATTATATACTAAATGGTTATCCGCAACACAACAGTCTCTTACGAAAAGACGTTTTTAGCTTGACTTCACTGTGATTTTTGCTAATATATGATCGTCTCTCATCACTAAGAGGTTGAAAATTTATACACAATGTGTATTTCTACATATCTATCTATTTTATCAGCCTGCAAATTATTTTAGAATGAGATCGTAACCGTTTTTAACCTTTGCGCTGGAGATGTTCCCTGATCGCCGAACTCGGATCTACCTGTATCGTCTATGAAGTACATTGTTGAAGTACAGCTATGTTAACCTAATCAAATCCTACGGCCTCAAGTAACCTCAACGAATACTTTGTTGTCATGAAAACTGAATAAAATATATAAGCCTTTTTCCTCTCATTAATTTCATATCAAAGTACGATGATTTCCTAAAATAGCTTGAGGTCCTATTTACTTTAATAGTACTTGCATCTAATTGTATATCAGAAATTCACGCCGAATTCATTTCTGACGGGAATAGGTTACCGTTTAACCACTATCTCGGTTACGTGATTTAAGAGGTTTTTTTTATACAATATAGTTTTGAGCTCCTCGTGTATCAAGTGGTCCTGTACATTGTTCAGTAGCCAGGTCATAACCATACACGCAGTGTAAAGCTTACTTCAAGTTAACTTTCGCTTATTTATGAATGATTATATAAATCTAAGTGTAGATGGTTTAAGGGTGTTGCTATGAATTTTATATATACACTTATATACAATATACTTATAGAGCTTCTTTTTTCTATTCAAAGTGATAAATTGGATTTGCTCAGAGGAACAACATTTTTTTTTGCGTAATTTTGCAATTACATGCTAGTTTAGTTAACAAACAACTATAAAATCTCTGGTCATAGAGATTCTAAAAGCTAGACGGATTGGATTTTGGAAAATAGAGACGTGCAGGGCCCTTTGATATACTTTTTACTAAAACATGTTTTTATTTTGAAAAGTCTAATGCACATGATATTGGTAATAGCGTGATCGATCTTGAATAGCTAAATGAAGAAGTTAGTATTTTGACATTTTTTCTTTTAATGCGAATAGCTGCCATCATAAGGACCTCTATTCACTTATCGTTCAACATCAATGTGTTGTCGGATTATGCGACATGTCAGGTCCTTTCTCACTTTTGGCATTAGTTTGCCGAGGAAAACCCGTTTTTTAAAAGGCCTAATACTTCAATCATGAATTCCAATATTAAACGTCACTAAGACCAATTGGGCCGTTGGCTGTCAATAACAGATTTTACCAATGTCCTCAGTGAATGTGATTGTACAAAAAATAGCGAACAGATTCAAATGGCAGGTTTTGGTTTGTGTAAAGCACCATCCTGGCAAATAAAGATACCCGAGTTTCCCTGATACGAGAAGGGCCGAGGTTTCATAGTTCCGAACGACAGGTTAACACTATCGTTATCGCTTGACTTAGTCACTGCTTGAATATTAGTTGTTAATTATTGGTTAGCTGCTTGATTTAAATAAACCCTTTTTATTTGATTGAAATAAAATTGAAAGATGGTAGACTGAGCACGGCGACTACGGGAAGCCTCCGGTCTTCGGTATCAGTTAACCGGCAAATCGTCCATAATAACGAGGTATTGTTCGGTCAGCCCCCCCCCCCCCTCTTGCTCGAGCTAAATAGCGCCGCCACTATTGCAAAATACAGAAAGCTTCCCAGCGTATACTAATAACAGCCTGCGGGAAACCGAAAGCAGATCCAAAGTGGTGCATTTTTTCATTGCTCGAACAGCTTCAATATGTTCCTCTATTCGAAGCGCTCTTAGATGTAACTTACCATGCGCCGAACAAAATTGCAAGAGCCGAGGTGACTTCTCTAGTTCAAATTGTCCATGGGGTCTCTGTTACATACTTCGGCACACGTTGTCGTAGAATGCTCCCATAAACAATTCGCTATTCCACAAACTCCTCCACTGTGGAAACAACCCAGAGTGTTTGAATATTCCATTGTCGTCAACATGGTGGATCTCTCAGTTGATCATAGAAATTTCGCCCTGGTAAGAAATACATACTTTGCATCCCTGATACATCGGCTGTGAAAACCTATGGCTACGTGTGTGTGTATGTGAGTTCCTCTGTGTATCGCGAGCTTTCGGCTGTACCTAACCGACTTCTAATTACGTCTTGAGTAGGTCTGCAGTTATGGAAGTATGTGATTCAGTCTTGCGTTTCTAAGACCTCGAAAAAGGAACCTGACCTCTGAACAACGCCACTGATTGTAGAAACAAACTTTCTAGAAGTTTTCAATTTGCAGTGCCGCAGACATCCCCGGTTGCATTTGAAATCGGTTTGGAAGATGTTAGCACGCCTGGAGAATCGGACGGCAAAGACCTTAAAAAACCACCGCGTCGTCTCGAGCGGCTTGTTAACGAATCAGGACCCATAATCACGTCAGAGGATGTTGAAGAAAAATTACGCAGAGCAGAAGAACGTAGACAAGAGGTCTGTTGTGCGTCTTTTCCTTACTTTGTGTTATGTTCGACTTAGTAGTATCAGGCAGAGTTTCAACAGAAACTACTATGATGTGAGTCAATTTTACTCAAGCGCCCATTAGGATCATAGTAAGTTAGTTATGTCTTCTCCGTATAGTTTCATCTTGTATTACTACCTAAACTTCACTGATATCAGTCTGTTCTTATTAGTAAACGCCCAAAAAGTTATCGTGGATATTACAAAAATTAACAAATTTAGATAAACAAAAAAAAGAGGTTTGCCACGACCAATAACACACTTCCACGCGAGTTGAACAATTGGAGATCCAATTTATTCTGCTTCCTCTCGTATTATACCTGTATTCACTAGAATGAATGTTTTCAAAAGTTAGTTAGTTAGATCGCATAGACGATATTAAGAAAAAACACAATAAATCTAATCTATTTCTTTCGCCAATACCATTGTAAAGCGTCCTCATTCCTGTGTGCTTTATGCTCAGTTTACGCGTCACGTTCCTTGCGAAGTGATAACTTTTTGTCGTGACATATTCTAATGTGGTATTACCATTTTATAAAAAGGCAACAAAGGTTCAAAGTCTAAAATTATATTTAACTGAACGTTATTGCACGGTGCCTCGTATTTGCCGCTATTTAAGTGACTGGTGATGATTTTTAATTTCAGATAATCGAAGAACGGGTAAAAAATTCCCGTCTGCTCGCCGAAAAGATGAAAGCGCGAGTGACCACGACCACCGATGAAACAGATCCGTTTCCGGACCGAAGCTGAAATTTCTAATACTAATAATTTATAGTATCAGTCACTATTCTATTCGTTGCTATAGTAAAACAATCAAACTCAATGGATAACCAATTACTATAGCAATTAACGAACCTGTATAATACAAGTCATTGCTTATAACAATTCAGTATGTCTTGTTTTGCTTCTGCTCGTAAGTTTTATTCATCTATTCCACACAACAGGAACTATTAAGGGGCCACAAATTTAGCAAATATGATTGTGTATGAAGTTGTTCTTGTGGGCGTTATTTCAGGTACGAAGTTTTATTATTTGGTTGAACTGACGGGGGTCGATTGTTGCTATTACCAGCGCAAATATCTAAATTGGAAATTCCCCGTCATTTCGTTCAAATTTCTATGTTTCAAGTTTCGCGTCCGCTAGCGCCGTTTCGTGTTTCATCAGACAACTGGTCCCCAGCACGAAACGAACCCTGTCTATGCAAACAGCATGTCCCCTTCACACGTTTTTTAGCTATTAGGTTGTCACGAAGATGAAACAACCCTATCGGACACAACGAGAACTGTCTGTGTGCCGTATGTCGTCGGGATTTGACCACTCAACGCGGCATAACTTCCCTACAGCGACCAGTCGGTGGATAGCAAGGACCTTTCATTGGTAGCAGCAACGTTAGAGAAGCATATTGAAGATCCATTTGTGGTGCAGTTCTACGATGTTTATGGGAATCAGTCGTAGAGGAATCTCTATTGTCACAATAGGGTGCAGTTTCGTAGCGAATTGCATATACGACTAATAGGTTCGTGTACCATGTAACAGAATGGAGTACGTCGGATCCATGGGCCAGACGGATGAACAGAATGTGAGCCTATGACGTATTTATCGATTGCCATCGTTTCTAACCACCCCGTCTGCCATATGACGCGTCCGTTCTTTTACGACCATCAACAACATCTCCGTGTATGGCCATGGTGAACCAACCATTCCGTTGGTGATAAAGTGTCCTGAATATGCCCCATTGGCTGGAGACGGATGAAGTTGTCAGTATGTATCCTTAGGAGGTTTTAGTTCTCGATTGGACAGAGCCGTGGGTTTCGCCTTACGCCTGTTTCGCCATGATACACACTTTATTTTGGCCTGTGTAGAGATGAGTCATTGTTTTACAATGTCGACGAACAGCGGCCGGCTATTCCCTAGTGGCTACAATATATTAGCTTGCTCCATGATATAGTTTAAGTACATTTATGACGTGCGACACAAACTGGGTACACGTGTTCACGCGATGCAAATGACGGATAAAGAAAATTTGCACATTTGCGCGGACGATGCAAAGGGTTGCCTTCGTGTTGCTAAACGGTCTCGCGGGGTGGGACGGGTATTTTCGAGCGTGCAAAATCAAAAGAATTGCTGGCCTTCGTTTAGGAACCGTAAAGTGGGGCCACACCACCGTTTACGAACATTAACGCAGCCACCAGCATCGTCGGCACTGATATCTGGTATTGATAATTTTATACTAATACGACTAACATTACGCTTTATGGGGAAAAATTAAGGGATAGTTTTGTGTCGGGCCGGCCGGCCTGCCTGTCGATCTAAACCTGTACTAGCATACAATAGACGGGTAGTTGTTGTAGGGTTCTGTATATAGTGCAATTGTACGGTGAGAGGATTTTGCGAGATTTCGAGGCTTTAAAATGGGCAGTAAGTGGCTGTTACAAGCTTTAGAGAATGGCATAGATCTACATATGTTAATGTAGAATTTATTCGATAACATATATTATACATTTTTCTATTGTTACCTCGAAGTAGATAAGTTAATATAACAATTATATCCTTTATTTACACAAAGTATGTGGCATTTGTATGCGCTACGCAAACTTAACTGCTGGCATACATACATACATACATACATAATGCGAAGTAAGGCGTGAATCCGCCGTCTCGAGTTTGGACCATATAGCGAATATTCAGTATCCGTGAGACCTTGACCCGCATCGAAAGTTGTATACCACGCAGAGAATCTATCCGATTTACGGTTAAGTTCCCGCTGTTCCTCTTTCTCATCAAAATTGTTGGATATTCTGTACTACGTAAGAGATATTATTTGAGAACTAAACTCCCTTTCCCTACTGTATAATAATAATATCTGGTTATTGGTATTATTAGATGATAGTATAGCGAGTGGCGCTTCCGGCCTGAGCTGCTACTCGTGTTCGTCTGTTACCGCCTGCGCCAGCGACCTCGTGCTGGTACCAGTATCACTTATATCGTTGCTACTATAAGAAGTTCGGATAACCGGGTACAAGTTATGCGTAAAGTACAGACTCTGGCGAAGAGTCAAGCGATCGTGGATATCGAGGTGAACGTTGTGTTCCTTAAGATGGACACTTCTTTTGTGATTGTGACGTTTGTATCGTCACAACGGTTGTACTGTCACTATATTGCCTACGCTGTTCTTAGTACCCAGAAAATGTCTGCTTCAATATGAATCACTGTTAATCGCCTGAAGCAAAACTCTATATTGTAACATAGTCTGGCTTGACCCCGTGGTTAATAGCTGAAGGAAAAGTCACACGTACCGCATTAGTTCATATAAAAGCATACAATATATGCTAGGAAATCATCTGGGTATCAGCACCTCATATAGACACTTCTATTCGTATAGCGAGCACGGTGGTATTGTATATAGAAATAAATGAGCTACACTTATAGATCCCTATCGGCGTGTGATGATTACAGTAAGACCAATCGAGAATTATATGCTTTGGTAGTAAAACGGGCACGGCATTTTGTGATGCAATACCATGGCAAAATGAGAGACTTAGGCCAAATTTATGAGGGTAATTGTGGAGAATAAGATGGTCTATTATTGTAACAAACACTGATCCTTCGGAAAATTTCAATACGTTTAGTCAGCAAACATACATATTTATTCGACCCTGTCGCAGTCAAGCTGTTATAGTGTAAAATAGATTGACTCTAGTATGTTTGATGTCTTTCGAAATCCGGGTGTTTTATCCCTGAATTACCAAGCCAGCGAAAATTTCGTGTTTTTTTGTCTGCGAGAGCTAAACGTTACTACGCTGAATAGAAATTAGTATATAGGTAGTGGATTGAACATAATCTACATACGGAAAGTTACGAAGAAGACATGCTACCTAGGAAAACACTGGTAATTACTTTGTTTATTCTTTCTGTCTGACAACACAATTTAATCCTTCGTACAAGCATTTCCTTCAAGGCACCGAACCTGGGCCGGCTCTCTTAAAAAACTTGACATGTACTTCTATTTTGTTTTCATATGGTGCACGCAGATTCGACTCAACGTAGCTATAAAAGGGAGTGCGCCCCATATTTAGCGCCCATTACTTCTAGCGGTAAGGCAACGATACGGGAGCTTTGTCCACACATATATTATTCGCGTGGGACGCACAGCAAGCGATAAGTTTACGATGATTAGTTGGCGACATGTTAAATGCAACTTATTAGTTCGTTCGGGTTCTGGGTTCAAGCTGTTTTAGCCGACTGCGCAAATGTGATCCAAAATAGCTATCTATTATCAACCAGAATGGAGTCCTTCGATGCAGTTTCTTCTGCTATTCTGTATAATTATTGTAAAACTTCTTGCGACTGCTTCGTAGATTTCACTTTCGCATCACAAGAAATCATACAAGAGTTCATCGTCTAAGTATCTCTCTACTACAATCTCAGTGTTAAAAGCGGTGACCTCTCGTGAGGCCGTTTGCCCCGAAGCAAGAAGGTATTCTTCCCGCAACTTACCGCGCAGTTGAGTCCATGCTTCCGAAACAGCTTAACCATCCACACAATAGCTGCGATAATGGCGCATAGGAACGCTATAGCAAACGTCATGGAGATGAGTGCTTTACGCACTTTCGACGATTTCGAACTGCCACAGTTTCTTTCATCGCTAAGATCACCACAGTTATTACGGCCGTCGCAGACGTGGACGCCACTAATGTACAGAGGTATCGTGGCACATTTGAAGCAGCCGTGTGATTCGGTGTCGTGGCCTCGACAGCTGGCCTTGCACGCGGTAACCGTCATGTCAAAGCCGAGACCCATCGTCCAAGTCAGGTTGTTTGATCGTTTCGCCGTCGCCCAGTTCAGTTCGACGCCCTGGCTGTCGGTCACACTGTGATAATTACTTGGCGAGTCACCGTGGTACAAATCTCCGGAAAATATGAGTGATTTTAGGTTTCCAGGAATCGTCAGTGTTAAATTGTCGGCGTGATCTCGGGTGACGAGGGTTCGTATCGTTAAAATAAGCCCAATATCATCGCTCCTTCCTTGTATACGCATCGTACAGTTTACGCCCGCTTCGTACGCGAACGTCGTTGGGTTTTGGCTGCGGATCAAGAGTTGTTCGTCAAATTGAATTGTCCGTTCGGGCTCGCAGTAGTCTTGCAGGGTATACACGTGTGGCAGAAAATCTTCAGTTGTTGGACTACTGGTACTTATTAGCTCAGACGGCGTCGATTGGGTGACCGGATCAGACGGATGTGCTGTCGCGACAATAAACAAAACGGTCAGAAATTTCACGGCTGTGGGAAGCTGATCCATCTTTTCAATGGCCAGCCGGTTTGAGGTAAACGTATGCGCGTCTGAGGAAGAACTCAGGCTTGTTTATAACCTAGAAGTTCTGCAGCGTGTTCCGGGTCTGACAGGATCGTGTATTACTTTCAGTCTCGTAGAACAATGCAATATTTTCTCCTTTGGCGACACGTCCACTTTGCAACAGATTTGACATGTCAGACGTGTTAATTAGTCTAGACTGTTTGTGAGAGCTAGCATTCGACAGCGAACGCGCAGGTCAGATAAAGTAAAAGAAAAAACACGTAAAATTGAACAACAATAAAAATTGTAAGGTCGACCAGGAGATCGTTGAAAATTAGCGATGCTGGTTTTGTTTCTATTGATAATGACTATTGCTGTTGCCGCCACCGCTTTCTCTTCTGTGCAAATGCGGACTTTCCGCGTTGAGTACTTTAACTCACTGAGATCAATTACTATTTGGTGAGAAAGGAGGGGGCGCTGCTCTTTCCGTGTGTGTTTTTTTATCTGGCTGTGTTGACTCGTGCTGTAAAAACGATTTGCAGGGGGTGCA